TCTCATCTTTATTATTGAATACTGAGCCGGATCTAATGAAAGAGGTATGCAACAGTACAAAGCGGGCATTTGGCGCTGTATAGCTTTGGCTTCTTAGATGAGAATGAGATGACGAGTTTCAGCCTGAGTCTTCGAATTTTGGGAGCAAACAATCCTGACGCACTCGTATCTGTGGTGTGCTCCACTGTCTTGTTATTTGCGTCTTTTGCATATAGCATACTATTCAAAACTAGATCAACTTGATTACCAAAAAAAACTAAATCAACTTAACCTTATACCAGTAAATAATTAAATCAATGTTTAAAACTATTCAATCAATAAAATATTTTGTTCATAATTAATTAACTATTAAATCAGTAGTTTGACGGTTCAACAAGTCCGTATCTTAATATCTTTTCTATGATACTGCCAACCTTTTGGTTTTTCTAGAAATCTGGAATCTCTTTTCTGGTCTTTCATTTTTTTTTAAAAAATATATAGACTGAGGTTGTTTGAATTCACAACTTGCTACTATTCGAATTGACACGCGAGCTGTTGAGCTAAGAGGCTTAGCTCTTTCTCACTTTGCTCAATGAGTTCCAAGTTCCAACCATGTGATGTAGGGCAGTCCAAGTCCTCATGGATATGTTCAAATTCTGTCGCTTCTCGCAATTGTCAAGGTGTTAATCATGCATCAAATGCTAATACCCTGATATTTCTGTAGTCTGAAAATGATTATGTTCTTCCATTATCAAATCAAGATTATGATTTCTTCCGTGGTCCTCTTTCTTGTTTCGGCTGATCCTTTTCAAGCCAAGGCCACGGCCATCCTTTTAAAAAGTAAATATAAAAATAATAAGTGCAGGGTACGTAATTTCTTATTTCCAATCCTTTTATTTCACATCTTCTAGTATTTAAAAAACTGCTACTCAAATTTATCATATACTCTCTCCGTTTAAAAATGTAAGGTATTTTTTAAAGAGTTAAATGTTAAAAAATATAAAATATTTTTAGTCTTTTGAGGTGTAATCATTACTTTTTTTTCAAATGTACTCTTATTGATAATGACTTTATATTTATCGTAGGGTGTTTAATAAAAGTAAATATAAAAAAATATGATTAATTTGAAAGTAGGTAACTATTTTATTGAGAAATGAGATTCAGTTAAAAATATTTTATATTTTTTAACCAAAAGGGTACAAAATATTTCTTGGATTATTGCCCATGGTTTTATTCTGTGTATTTTCTGGAGTTTGTTAAAAATGTCACACATTCCAATTTTGGACCTTAGGAATGAATATAAGAACCTGCCTTTTGGAAAGACTCAGAGTCACAGACTTTACAACGGATTACAAAGTTCTTGCATCAACATGTTTTATAAAAATAGTGATGTAAAATTATATATTTTATACGATTAAATTAATAATAATTGAAACCAAATTCCAGTTTTAAGAACATCATGAGTTATACAATTTAACAAAACTTATTAAAATATGCGAGTGGAAAGTGGTCAAGCTCCAGTGTGGATATAACTCTGGCCTTTCCTTTGCACCAATATCTATTATTTTAAGATAATCAAATACTGCCAAGTTCGCAATAGAACACGAGGAAACAATCATGTGGTTGGCTTTTGCCGATTAATCATGCAATGCAAAATGATCCGGATAACACGTGTCCCACACTACCAAGAAAGACACAATGATTGGTTTCCTGTCGTGTTCATTTGGATTACTCATGAACTTGGCAGGATTGATTCTTTTTTTTTTTTTGGGTCAGCAGGTAGAATTGATTTCAATTATGGCCTCCTGCGAAAATAACATGATTAAATTTGGACCAACCGAGTCTCTAATCAAACTGGAGCCTCATATTCCTCTGTAGCTATATCTTATCACCGTCATCATTTAAAATTAAAATGGATTTTCTCCAGACCCATGTCAATTAATCAGTTTATCCCCTGCCTTGAGTTCTTTAACTAACTTCTTTCAAGTATTTTCTCTGAGAGACGTCCTATTTCTTCTTGTCTTTTGTTATCTTGCCGTCAGCTTCTGCATTTTAACGTTCTCTCTGATAATCAGTAGCCACTAAAGCACAAACCGTCTTGCTATAACTATCTGCATTAATTGGAGCTTCGATCTTCATCATTCCACTTGTCATGGCTTCCTTCTATTCCATCTTCTTCTTGTTTTCCGCATCTACTCTTCTGGCTTCAATTGTTGCTTATTCATCCAATGAAACTCCTATTAACGTAACCAAACACTTCTCCTTCTCCGATTTCAGCATGACCAGTAACTCCAGAATTCTCCATGATGTGAAGCTTCTAGGCAGTGCCAAGTTCTCAGAAGAAAAGGGTGCTCTTCAAATTCCTGATGAATCCTCAGACGTCAGACATCAAGCAGGAAGAGGCATTTACTCCTTCCCGATTCGCCTGCTAGACCCAGAAACCCGAACCCCAGCTTCTTTCCAAACCACTTTCACTTTTCAGTTCATCAATTGCAGCATCGTCTCACAACAAAATGATTCTTATGGTGGTGGTAGTGGCTTCACTTTCATCATCGTCCCCGACGAGTTCACTGTAGGGAGACCAGGGCCGTGGCTTGCCATGCTTAATGATGCTTGCCAAGATAATTACAAAGCAGTGGCCATAGAATTCGACACTAGAATGAATCCAGATTTCGGAGATCCAAACGACAACCATGTTGGCATCAATTTAGGTACCATAAAATCCTCTAAAACAGTCAACGTTTCTGATGTTGGAGTGAACCTTAAGGATGGTTTTGTTCACCGTGCTTGGATTACCTATGATGGTCCCCAGAAAAGAATGGACATTCGTTTAGGACCAGCAAACCAAGAAGATTACCCTTCTAAGCCAATCTTCTCCGAATCTGTGGATCTCTCGCCCTTTCTGAATGAGTATATGTTCGTGGGATTCTCTGCTTCCACAGGAAACCATACCCAGATCCACAACATACTCTCTTGGAACTTCACATCCACCTCCCAAGCTTCTCTTCGTTTCCCCTCATCTAATACCTGCCAGGGTAAGATCTTGCTTGAGAGTGCCTCTGCAACTCCGAGTGCTAAGGGTCCTTCTAAATTTGAACCTTCTCGCAGCTTTTTAATCTTTGTGGCTGTTGTGGGTTTGGTTCTTGCTGTTATTCTCGGCTTTTACTTCAACAGTAAACGCAGAAGAAATGCTGAAAAACCTATCATTCCAAGCCCCCCATATAAGCCTCGTCGCTTTACCTTCTCTGAGGTTTCCTCTGCCACTCGATCCTTCAATGAAATTGAGGTTTTGGGTAGTGATTCTAGGGGCGTGTACTACTACGGTAAGCTTCCTGGTGGCATAAGAGTTGCTGTGAAAAGATTCTCGTCTCAGTTTCTAAACTCACATGGGTCAGATCATAAGAAACGACTGTTGAAGGAAATCAAATCTATCAGCCAGTTTCGCCACCCCAATTTGATCCCCATAAGAGGGTGGTGCCAAGACAGGCATGAAACCATGGTGGTCTATGATTTCTTCCAAATGGCAGCCTTGACAAATGGCTATTCGACGACAATGTTCTTCCATGGACTCGTCGATTCAAGATCATAAAAGACGTAGCTGATGGCCTGTGCTTCCTCCACTCAAAGCAACTAGCCCACAAGAACCTGAAATGTGGCAGTGTGTTTCTAGATGTGAACTACAGAGCAATCTTGGGTGACTATGGGTTTGTACTATTAGAATCAGAATCGAGGCAATTTGAGTCCACTGTGTGTCGATGTGTTGATGTGTTTGAATTTGGTGTGTTTGTGTTGGAAGTGATAGCAGGAAGACGTAAGGTAGAGGAAGAGCATGCAAAAGCAGAAGCGAAAAACTTGCTGGATTATGTTTGGAACTTGCACGAGATTGACGGGAAGGTGAAGGTGGTGGATAGAAGAATGGGATCTCTGATAAATTTGGAGCAAGCAATTCGGGTGCTGGAAATTGGACTGCTTTGCACGTTGAATGAGAACAAAGGAAGGCCATGTATGGATCAAGTGGTAGAGTTTCTCAACATGGAGATCCCCATCCCTAAGCTGCCTACAAGTCGCCCTATTGCTTTGTTCCCTTATAGTAGCGCCAACACAGGTCTCTGCAATACGTACTCTTGCACCGCTTTAAAATTAAGCCATGATCTTAGGGACGCATTCACTGGGTAGCGATGGAGCATTCTTATTTTGAATATGAACAAAATGATATGGAGTCAACTCATATTTGATATTGATATTAAATAAGACACTGATTCCTGTATTATATGAGCAGGTTGCTTCTAAAGTTGTAAGGTAATGCATTTGGATGAGTTTCAGGGTGCTGCAAATGTATCAAATGATGTGTGTGGTATATTGTTGGGGTGAGAGAGGGTGTGAGAATAGTTTGTGAATATGTGGGTTCATTAATCAGAAGCGGTAGATATAGTGCTCGTGTATGTGAACATGATTTGGAGCTTGCGATGTGATGAATGAAATTTGACCCTTCCAAGAATGAAGAAAGCATGAAGTGCAATAGATGAATGGTGGAAAATCAGAGGTGGCAATGAAATGATGCACCTTCGTTGTTTTGTTCAGTCAAATATGAAATGATCGATAACTGCCTTGTTTTGTTGTTATTGAGCACTACCATTTTTCACGACTTTCCATAACTATTCGTCTTAGTTCAGACATGTTGTAAATAGCCGCAAATTTAAACCTTACCATTTTAACCAAGAATAGAAACTATAACTGCGATTATTATATAATAGAAACATAAAAAAGTGTTTATTTATAATTAAATTTACAATATTTGAGAAATACTGTTGTTTGTGGTTTATCAAGCAATGCGAGTTGAGGGACTTTTCAAATATGGTCGAGCTTGATGACACTAGCTTGTCATGTAACCCAAGTAAAGGGCATCAAAGTGTTGGAATAAGCAAGTATAAGCGTTGCGTGCCCAGAAGCTAATTTAAATTTAATATCATTGATTCCCTAAGTTATTATCATGCACAAATATAAAGCAACAAGATGCAAAATATGAACTTGATTAGCAAGGCTGCCAAGGCAAAATTTGCATGGAAAAGGTGAAACTTACCTGGGCCTTGTAAGTTGCTAATGTTGTTTAGTTTAGAACTTGCATGAGCAGTGAACTATCCATTAATAAGTTCAATTAATTGGTGGTCATCATATATGATTACACATGTTCAAACTTTTGTTGTCTGTAACAATACAAAAATTTTATTGATTTTCATTGTGCAGAATCCCAACCTTTTTTTTTTTTTTTTGCCAGGGAATCCCCCTTTTGGAAGCATCTAATTCTAGATATCAGGTAGTTCACAGAGGCTTTTGCTGTTATAGTTAGGGGCTTAGGGTTATATTATGTATGATGACACCTGGTGTATGAAATAATTTATTGATGACATGTGTTACTAACCTGATTGAGGTTCATGGGATGACAGCGAAGGCATTAATATTGTTACTTGGTTTTTCATCAGGCAGCAAGTTTGAGGATTGAAGAGCAATATATTCAAGCCTTCAGTAACATAGCCAAGCAGGTAGTCTTGCTAGCTGATTAATATACAGGTTCCTTAATTGCATTAGTCGTCAGTATCAAAACCTGTGTCATGTTTTATTCTTAACTTTTTTATTCAGGGCACAACAATGTTGCTTCCTAGCTCTGCATCTAATCCTGCTAACATGATGGCTCAAGCTCTCACTATGTACAAAAGCTTGTTGGGTGATGTTTCCAATGAGAAAATTGTTGGAAGCACACCCACTTCAATAGGACAAATTGAGGGGAATGATTACTATGGCAAGGCTAAGAATGAGAACTCAAGTGATAGCCCCAACATGGGAGCCCAGCAGCTCCCACCACGACCGATAAGAATGAAAATGATAGAAACAAACCTATATTTACACTTCAGAGCTCGAAGAGAAAGGAATAATCTAACAATATTAAACCCACCACCCTCAATAATTAAACCATCTATAGTTTTTTCTCTCTCCTGTTCTTTTGAGCTGTGGACTTGAGCCAAGAATTCAGTACCCCGCGGGTAGCAAAATTAAGTTGAACATGAGATCACTTCTTACAGTTGTTGTGGCATTGATGATCGGACATAGATACGACTTCATTCAATTTGTCGCTTGATGTCAAGACAGTTAGAAACCTTTCTAGCTAATTGGCATGTGAACAGGAAGGAATAAAATTTGTTTTGCCTCCCCCATGTACTCGAATTTCTTGTGTATAAGCGGAAGCTTCATTGATCCCAAGTGAGTTCTAGCTAGGTAATCAAAAAGCAGAACTGATTTGATATTTCCTAACCTAATTTGGCCAGTGGCTCATGTGTCACAATGGCACCAACGCTCCTCATGTAGCAAGAACACGTTTTCGAACCCCAAAATGAGATGCAGTAGGTGTGTGTTTGAGTGTAAATATGTCTTCTTAGTAATTGTTCCCAAAAAAAAAAAAAGAAGCCTCATTTGCATCAATGAGTCCGGACAACTGATAACTGGCTGTCACCAATAATAGTGCTTACCTCAGTTCTGACAGCTAGGCTTTAATAATAAAGAATAAAGGAATAGTATAATTCCACAACCAGCTCAAAAGATTTTGTTGTGAATGCAAACAACGCGGAATCATAGACAAGAGATAATTGATCAAAGATAACTTACTATCAAGCCGAAGGCAGAATGATATGCGGTTCAATTATTACTGGTTTATATTTGAATGATGCGCAAAATGTAAACCCATGAACTATTCTGCGCTTTTAACACCTAATGCAAGCTCAAGAACATGCCATAATACGAAGGACGCAACAAACAGCTCAAGTTTCAAGAGACTGGAATTATAGTTGGTACTACCATGTATAGGCAGCCTAGTTAGTGGTCACGGGGTAATTTTTGAAAGAATGAGAAACATGAAATTCGAAAATTCCCGCTATAATTTATTAATAGGACGCTATAAAAATCGAAAGTGCTCAAATATGAATAAGTTTGAGGACATTACACAGGACGCAGAGGACCTCAGCCGCTTCTCATTTCATCAACTTGCAAAATTAATACCTGATGATTCGAAGTTTCAAACAAGATAATTATAATGCCCAATTCCTTTCTTGTCAATGTTCCTCTACAACTATAGATTGGAATGATTAATTAGTAGAAACAAGAATATTTAACAGACATAACATAGGACTGAATTTTTGTAAGTTATGAAAATGGGTGATATAAAAGGATTAAGCGTGGTAACCAGCTGGTGGAACATCTGCCAAGTGCCAACACCATCAGTAAGGCCCCAGATGAAAGAAAGAAAAAGGAACATGCAGGCACCCCCACAGAAGAAACACGAAGTGATAAATTTATACAATCACAATCCCCATGTACCACCAAAGGGACAAGTTGTGAAAAGGATATTTGCCTAAAATTGTTAGGTTGGATAAAAGATAGCATAGGAACGAGTTATAGAATTATCTCTTGACAATTAGAGACACCTGTGTTTTTTTGGTTCAATAATACGAGGGGGGAGCTAAAATGCTTAGTTGCTTACCGTAAATTCCGATATCTGAAGATATATTCACATGGAAATCCAGACATCACAATATGCATGGCAGCCTAAAATTTTGATCATATTCTCAGGCAGCATGCAAGCTAACTTCCACCAGGTGCAAGGAATGACACCTTAATACTTACACAACTGGTTTATCACCATATTTGCCAAATGATTTAAGCATGAAAGACATCAAAAACCAAGAAAATTATTAATCTTCTAACAACAACGCGCTTTATCATCCAAAACTAATAATATTTGATGTATACAACGTGTCCTCAAGAATTCTATCAATGCTATACCAAAAAATTAAACATCACACGAAGAGAAATTGGAGAAAAGTCATCCATATTGGAACATGTGACTGACAACCGTGACATACTAAATCCAAAATTGAGAAAAACCGCAGCAAAACAATACAATAATTCCCAATGTCAGTGACAAGTGATATTCACAATACAAGAATTTCCGAAGTATTTAACAAACGAATATCATAGCAAAGAAGATCGATATCTATAAATCCCTCTTTTGCATACAAAGCAACGCGCACACAACCTCACAACAACCAAATAAAGATTCCCAAAAGGTATTCTTATAAACCAAGAAGACCGCAGATGCACATAGCTAACCAAATCCTCATAAATTAGCGCCAGTAGGTAATCAAGAGAGACCAAACAAGACCGAAAAACCAAGCACAATGAGCCAGACAATATGCACCAAAAGAAGCGCCTGACCCGGGAGAGAGACCGAACTCCCACTGCCAACTTCACAAAATCCCGATCTGGCAACTTTAACACCCGCACAGACAGCATCGGCACAGCCACACCAGTAGGTGACGCCGTCGACGCCGCAAACGGGGTCCGTCCGGAAGCACTTCACAGGACACGAGGCCGGAACTGTTCCGGCGCACCAATTCTGGGCAACGTTGGAGGATTCAGAGGGTAACTGGATGAGGGATGACGAATCGCCTTGCCCTCGAACCATGGGAAAGAGGCAGATGGTAAAGACGGTAATCGTAACGGCTAGAAAGCACGGGAAGAATGGGGTTTGGGAGATTCTCGCCATCATTGCATACGGAGAAGGCGAGCTACCGAAGGCTCGCCGGCCGAAATCGAGACCAACCTAAAATCTAAAATTTGAAGAACAATGGGAATCAATTTGGAAGAGGGAATCGGAGGGTTGAAATGGAATCGAACCCCAATTTACGAAGATGGAGGATCTTGAAGATCAGGGCGTGGCTTGGGAGGAAAAGAGGGAGGGGAGAGAATATTTGTCGCACGAAGGAACAGGTCTTGTTTCAGCGTCGATGGGCGGAAAAGTTTCCGTTCTACCCGTTGCTTCTTGTCGTCACTCTCAAGATTTGTTTATCGGAGAAAAAGATGCACATAACGTTTTTGAAAAAAATAAAAAAAAGGCAAGCCATTATGATTATAGTTTGGAAATGGGAGGTGAATCTCCACGTGGTTAAACAACGCACAAATGGACCGGTTTCGGTGCTAACAAGTAACAACCCGGGTGCTTATCAGGTAACTAGAGTTGGACTTTGCAAATTTAAATTTTTTTTATTTTTAAAAATAAGAATTGTAATTTTGTTTATAACTAAAAATTTTAATAAATATGTCTCATTCTCAATCTAAATAATACATATTTAATCTAAATAATTCAATTAAATGATAAATATTCTTATAATTTTTATAAATTGACTATCTAAATATATTTTGAACAATCATCTAAATTTAATATTAAAAATTTTAAAAATAATTTTAAATTATTTTGATAAATATAATATTAAAAATAAAGATAATCTCTAAATTGCACTTTCAAATAAATATTTTTTAGCAAAAAATTATGAATTAAAAATTTTAAATCTAAACTTTTCATACTATATTTGGATAATTCATTTGTCAAAGTTCTAAACTTTTAACTTTAAGATTAAATCTGTATTGTCAAAATTTAAAATAAAAGAGATTAAATTTTTTATATTTTTTATTTTAATAAAAAATAATTGTTGAAATTTGAATTGTCTAAATTAACATTTGGACAATTTGGATTTAAGCAATGTGCTCATCAAGAATCTTAACATTGAAATCGGTTCTAACATAACAATAGATGTAATTTAGATTAATTAAGCTATTAAGATATACTCTCTCTATTTAAAAATATAAGGCATGTTTAATCAAATTTTATTTAATAAAGTAGTTATTTATCTTTAAACTAATCCTATTTTATATTTATTCTTATTTAATAGGATATTTTATTTTAAAATAAATATAAAATATTTATTCAACAGGGATATTCTTAAAAAAAATATAATTTATGTCTTGTATTTTTTAACATCTAATCTTTTAAAAATTACCTTACATTCTTGAGTGAAGGGAGTATTGAGATGGACTATTTTAGGATTGATATCAATAGGGAAATCACTTGTATGTGGAGTTGAGAATTTGCAATTGCTTTTTTCAAGTTTTATCTAAATTATATAATTTTTAATTTAAAATTATTATTTAGTTCAGCTTCTAGGTGTCTTCTATTTCTTTTTTTGATGAACGAGAAAATGAAAAAGGCAAGAAAATTCTTAAAAGAAAGTTGATGATTAAATGAAGAAGTAGATCTTCGGCATATGACGGCCACAAAAATTTATGTCTTTTTAAATCACCGATAGAGGATTATTTCTTGAAAAAATTTCAAAGTTAGTGAGGTTATTCTTCCAAAGACTTTAATTTGGATGAACAAACTAGCATTTCTGTTGCAGGGAGAGTCCATTGTAGAAACGATCTATTTCTAATTTGGCAAGGTAAATTATTGCATTCTATAGAGTTTTTGAAAATATGCAATGATTCAGAGCAGAAATAGCGCGGGTACATGATGTGTGCCACCAATATGGATTTTGCAAGTTCTCTCTTCTACTTACGCTACTCTTCCCACCCTTTATCTCTCAAATAATAAATATTATTTCAATGATTGTCTTTTAAATTATTAGATATTATTTCTTTTCTATTTATTCACACATCAGTAGATGACCTACCATCTGTTTTACTTCTATCTTTTGCATTTTATTAGTGAAAATGGAAGGGGATTAGGTGCACCAAACTTTTGCGTCAATCATCATGATGAATTTATCTTTATTTTATTAAGTATAATTCTGGAGATTAATGTCAATAACTAGACTTTTCTACAATTTACTATACGATATAAATAATAACATGGTGAAAGTATTGTCTTAAAAGTACATTGATTTGTTTCACCTACAAAATATATTGACATGAACACAATTTTATATTTAAATTAAAATTAAAATAGTGAAATTATATAAAATTAAAAAGAAGGAAAAATGTGTGACTATGTTAGAATAGATTTAAAAAAGTAGATAGTAAATAAATATTTATTTTGCAAGGGAAAATGTAAAAAGATAGAACAAATAAAACATATTTGGAATAGTAAAAAAAATTATTCTATACTCGGTCACTACTACAAAAATGTAAATATAAAACGTCATAAAAAATGATAGTCAAATAAAAACACGTCATATATGAGATAGGCGGGTGATGGTGACCAAATAAATGATGGGCCTTAAAAACAATCGTCATATATTACAAGATTTTAAATGACGGGTATTAAAAAATTTTGTCATTTATTTCAGCCAAACATTTCATTTACTGGAAGAAAAAAAATAAAAAATAAATTTAAACTTTAAATAACAGGTATTTTAAAAACCCGTCATATAAAATTTAAACAATATATGACGGTTATAGAAAAAACCGTCATATATTTGAGCTCGCCATTTCAGATTCTTAAAATAAAAAAAAATAAAAAGTTTTAAAACTTTAAATGATGGGTGTTTAAAACACCCGTCATTTAAAATCCAGAACTATATATGATGAGGTTTTCAAACGCCCATCATATATTCATGGCCAACGTTTGATTTTTCTCATTTAAAAAAAATGTTAGGCTTTAAATGACGGTTGTTTAAAACAACCATCATTTAAAGCCTTCAAATACCCGTCATATATTATGGAATAAATGACGGGTATATAAATACCCGTCATTTATTTCCTTTTTATTTTTGTTTCTAGGTTCATTTTTTCATTCCCGCCCGTTCGTCGTCTCTGTTTTCTCTCTTCTCCTCTTCTACAAGAAATCGATAGGAATCTCTCAATCAACCTTCATTCTTGCCATCGACCACTGTAGTCTCTCGCGGGCGTGAAAGTACTCCTCCTACACTGTCCGGTTCCTCTCTCATTGGCTTCCTCTTTGTGTTTCATCCTCTCTTCTCTAAGGTACATGGGTTTGTGATTTCTATGGTTTTTCTTCATTTTCTTCCAATATGCTTAGATTTCTATATTATGGAATTGATTTATTTGAGATTGTGGATTGTTTTATTGGTTGATTTTTATTCTTTAAATATCTCCTCATGTTTTGCCCATTTTAATATTGTGGGTTGTTGAAAATTGCTAATGTTTGGTGTTTTATTGACTTGAAAATGATTGTAGATGATTTGCTTTGCCTTAGGATGATTATTAAGATGAAAATTAGTGATCAAAATGGGATATTTGTGATGATTGTATTTTTCTACGAATTTTGACTGATTTATTTCAATAATTTTTAATTTAAATTTTGTGCATTGTTTGATCAGAGTAGTTTTATCGTTCAAAACTACATATTGAAATGTACTAGTGTACCAGTTTTCATTATAATTGGAGTTCATTTTAGTAACGAAAACTGACGCGCGGTTTCTGTAAAAATCATTGCTATTTTATTGAAATTTTTACATTTGGTAAAGAATGATTTGTTCTTGGCTTGAGATTGCTAATATAGGATATGTGTAATCTTAGAATGATCAATGAGACAGAAAACATTGATTCAAAATGATGTTTATAGTTTTTTTTTTCCTATGAATTTTGAATGAATTTTATATATAATTTTATAATAATTAGAGTTAATTTGAAAATGCTATTTTGTGAGAATTTCGTTGGTTTTGTGATTGTATATAGTTGGAATTAGTTTATTGAGTAAGATGCCAAGAATGAAAAGAGGGTTTTAGCCCGAGAAATACTTTCTTTATGTTGTTATGCTGCCGAATTTTTTATCAACGGTTGAAGGAGTATGTGAATGCTCATGCATTGTGACTCATGATTCATTAATTACTCTATATTATATGTAGAGTAGTCAATTTCTTTATTGATAATCTTTTTATCATTCCTTTCCTATCTCTATATTCATGAGTCACTGATCACATTTCCTTGAATGAATTATCTTTTAGATTATAAAGTTATGGATAGAGAATGGATATCTTTTAATCGATTAAGTAAAGAGTATTTGAATGGTGTGAAAGAGTTTATGAAGTTTGTTCTTGAGCATGTAAAAGACCTAAGAAGAATAGTGTGCCCTTGTGTAAGATGTGGTCTTTTGAAGCAAATTAGTGCATCTGAGATGGAAGACCATTTAGTGTGCTATGAAATTGATGAAAATTACAAGTGTTGGCATAAGCATGGAGAGACTAGAGGGGATGAGTCTATTAGTAATTGTGAGTATAAAAGAAGCTTTGAATCAGACGATCATGACTCAGATACTTATAAGGGTGACTGTCTTGAAGAGATGGCCAATGCAATTGAAAGGGAACTTGAGGATTGTCCTGAAATGTTAGAGATGTTGAAAAGTAATGCAGAGAAGCCCTTGTATGCTGGTTGCACTGAATTCACAAAGTTGTCAGTAATGTTGAAATTGTACAACTTAAAAGTGAGCAATGGATGGAGTGATAAGAGCTTTACAGAAAATCTTACACTTATAAAACAACTTCTACCTGCGAACAACAAGCTTCCAAGGATTATGTATGAGGTAAAACAAATGCTACGCTCAATTGGCATGAGTTATAAGAAAATACATGCCTATACTAATGATTACATATTATTTAGAAATGAATATGCATCATTAATGGAGTGTCCAAAATGTAATGCCTTGCACTATAAAGAGAATGGGAAGAGTCTAAAGAAGGCATTATGGTACTTTCCCATGGTACCTAGATTTAGACAGCTGTATAGTAGTACAGAGGATGCGAAAAATTTGACATGGCATGCGAATGAACGGATCAAAGATGGAGAGCTTTGACATCCAGCTGACTCTTCTCTATGGAAAAAAATTGATCTCGATTACCCTGACTTTGGAGCAGAAGATAAAAATCTTCACCTCGTATTATCTATTGATAGAATGAATCCATACGGGCTTCAAAGTAGCAGTCACAGTACATGGCCAGTTATTTTGGTAATTTACAACTTACCTCCATGGTTATATATGAAGCGAAAATATATGATGTTATCCATTCTAATTTCGGGGCTAAAACATCCGGGAAATGATATAGACATATATTTGGCTCCTTTAATTGAAGATTTAAAAT